AGAGAGAGAGAGAGAGAGAGAGAGAGAGAGAGAGAGAGAGAGAGAGAGAGAGAGAGAGAGAGAGAGAGAGAGAGAGAGAGAGAGAGAGGAATGACAGGTGCGTATCAGTGAGCCTGGTGGCTCAGGCGAGAGATGTTCCTGCTCTAGTTTGAAGGGTATTGTCCCCTCTGAGTGTGCTCATCCAGTCTTGCGCACCGGCAGGCTAAAAGGATGTCACCTCGCCATCTCTACAGTTGTCACTGCCAGCTGCACCGTTCCCAACCTTCCCCTCCCCGCTCCGCTTTCGCCGTCCCTGTTTTCTCCATTGCTTTCCCCCTCCTGGCCCCTCCTCTCACCTCTCCTCTCCTTGGGGTTTTCGTCTTAAAACTTATCATTGAATCTGGTTATATGCCACTGTAAACCATGAACGTGATCATTTTCTTTTCTTTTCTTTCTAAAAGGGTGACGGCCTTGAGATATCATCATTGAATTGACCGGCCCCAGGTAATTCAGAATGATTTTGTTCCGGTCATTTGATTGTATCTGGATTCAAACTTGGGTCTGTCTTTCAACAGTTCGTAGGTCTACCAACTAAGCTAGCCCAGTTGGTACACTGTGATCAATCTTGTTCGACAAGCTGGCATTTCGTAGGTCTCTTTGTCTCTGACGCCTTTTTACCCTGCCTGTCATTGTAACATTTGACAGTCTACAGTTTGCGCTCTGATGCATTCTTGCTGCATTGGACAGCCGCATTGAGCCGTCGTAGATGATCATGGCTTGCATGCTGATAAATGGCACTCATTTCAACGGATAACCCTTCTTATGAATTTCTCAAACCTATTGAGAAAATCAAGAAAATCACAGCCATTTCCCGGCACACATATGGCCAAATGAAATGAATAAGAGTCCGCAGGCCACATGCAACTTCCATCGGAAGTCCAGAGTTTTGTGGAGTCAAACTCCAAGGTTATGTGGCGTTGAAGCGCAGAGTCGCATTCCAAGTGTCTTGCCAGTGTCTGGAGTCAAACCATGCAAGACACATTATCTCAGAGTCCCAAACAGAGGCCATGTGGAGTCGAACTTGTGTAATGATTGGCATCCCATATGGATCATAATTTGCAAGGCATGTCAAGTCGAATTCTACAATCCAAATTTAAGAGTCCAGAGTTACTGCACAGGCTTCTGTTCTCTTGGACCACTCTGAGCGTCTTCTTCCTGATTCAGATTTCTGCTGTGCACCAATTCTTGTCACACCATGGTGGGTGCAAAGTCTTCTTTTCTTGGTCGCGGTGCCAACAGCCTTTTCATTTCAGTAAGCCAAGTGCTGAAAGACAACACACATTAACAACCATGTCTGAACAGAATAACCAGGGAACTTTCTTTTTTTTAAGACTTTAGAACGCCAGGACATCTGAAAGGCGCCAAGCTTTGCGGAAACGCCAGTGCGGCGTTTTTGTTTTAGTTTTGACTGGCGACGCCAGCCATTTTGGTCCGGTTGCCCAGAGCCTCCGAGTTTTGACTGGTCGTGATTCTCAAGTTGGTTGGCGCTATGGTGGTTTAAGTCACGAGAATGCCGAAAGTTGTCTGCTGTTGAGGTCCGGAGCCATGCTCATTGCTACGTCAATAGCAAACTATGCCACAGCTGACACCTTTAGGCAGTCCCAAAGTTACTGAATGCTCCTGTTGGGTAATGGCTTTGTTGCACAAGGTGAGGGCTTGGTGATGAGCATAACCTTCTCAACCTCTATTCTGACTTAAGTGCCACCTGGTCAGCATGGGCACTTGCCTGCATAAGGGATTGGGAAATATTTTCTCAACATGCTCTGCTCTCCATGTCCTTACTAGGGTTCATTTCACTAATCCTGTACATTCCTTCCCGCATGTGAAGGGCCTGAGGAGAGCAATGTCATTTTTTGGGGTGGGTTTCGTCTTATTTGCAGGGCCCATGAGGAGTCTGCGAGACCATTTACTTCTGGAAAGCTCACCTGTACGTGCCATCTGGAGCGGTACTGTTGTGTGTACGTGGCTAGGCGTGAACTGTTCAGACGGGAGAGTTACACAACTGTAAGCTAAGCTGGGCATCTCACTTGTGTCTTTCCCTTGCTTCTTTCTTCACCATGCTTGTGCCCTGCGTGAAAGCTTTGGCTGCATTGCTTTTTCCTTTTCGCTTTTTAATGAACAAGTCCTCGTTGTCCGGACTCCTTGTCGGTTCTGGGGAGCGTCAGTCTGGTTCCATCTCACTGGCAAGTAAAAATAACAACACATCGAGAGATCCAATCCATGTTTCCTTCCGTCTAGGCCGTGAATCCCTGACCAGCATTGATTGCTCCTATCCGGAGGACTGACGGTCAGATAGCCTGAAATAGACAGAACGGCAACAGAGGTCTCAATTTGCGGAGGATTTTCAGTGGCATTTATAAGAAAACCCAAAGGCCTTTTGAACCAATCTTGGACACCAATCCATGTAGTGGACACCATATTAACAAACAGCAAAAGAAAAAGGGAAAGAAAACCTATAAAACTGTAAGCCAAATCATGCTTTCAGTGTTTTGTTAACCCTGTTAACCACTTGTGCGGAAACACTGAGGTCCTCTCAATCTCAGTCTGTGCCGGGATTGCTATAACAACGTGAATGCCAAGAACTGTCTGCATGAAGAGATGGCGGGTTGATAAAATATAGTGTTTGCGCAGAAATTAGGTGCTGTCCCACTTGTTGGCAGCTGTTGCATCTCAGCTTCTTGCCATCGAATGTGGCAATTTTGCCATTCAGTAGCCAGGTGTGTGAGAATGCTGTTGATCTGTTCTGGAATGAGTCAGATTATCACAAGAATCTGTGCTCATGGACAAAACCCTGGGTCAAATGCAGGTCCATGGATGATATCTGCCTGAACTCCTGAATGACGATTCATGAGCCATTCGGTCTATGACTAAGCTGTGGTGGAATGCTGCTGGGCCAGGCCATTTTATGCCTGAAGGCATACTCATAGTGCAGCTTTCTGAACTGAATTCCAAGACGAATACATCCAGGAAAGTCCCGGTGTGACAATGCCCTAAGCTGCTTGGGAATAAACTTACCACTCTCACTGTGTGAAAGCTTGAAGGATGTTAGATCTGCGCCATTTCCTCAGTATGATTACGGATGCTGATTGTTCATATTACCTGAATAGCAAAAGTTTGATCTACATATATGGCATATCATGCAAGCTTTCATGTAGCCAGTACATGGTCCTGTAATAACTCAGCTCGTATCATGCTATAACCGTGAGCCATAGGTCGTCACTTCGGTCTAAAGGGCCGAATCCGGGGCCAGCGGCCACACCCCAAGTCAAGAAACCACCTGAACAAAGGCCTGCTGCTGTGGGTACCGAAGCATTGCCTCAAAACTGGGCTTCAGAGGCCCTATGCGCAACAGTTGACCAAGGAAAGTCAAAGGTCAACAGAAGCTCGGAAATTCAGGCTCACGAGCCAAATCAACACGGACCCAGCCCAGGCCACCGATCAGACACACACACTTGACTGTTTGCAGGTATCTGTCAAGAATCCAGTCCAAGTGGGAATCTTTAACTGTATGAGATCCAGGCCAATGACTGTGGGTCAATCTGGGCCGTCGCATCCGAGAGATCAGAGGCTGGTCAATACTATAAGTTGACACAGCCCCTGCTGACCGAAATTCAGTCCTGTTCGACGCTGGCTTGATGCTGGCTCTACGCTGGCTAGACGCTGGCTTGATATTGGACGACAATGCGAGACTGCTTCTGTGCTGGCGCTATCCTCTGTCTTCGGCGCCAGTTCTCTTCTTGATTATTGCTGACGTGGCGCTCAAACCACTGTCTACAACATTGATGTGGTATTTGGCGAGGAGGAGGAGGATCGGGCCTGTGGGATTGGTCGAGTGTAGAAAGGAGAGCTTACCTGTTCACGATCGTGTCGACATTGAGCTCTGCTGTTGTCTTCAGAAGGAGTCTGCGCTGTGTGCGCCATTTTGAGATCTGATCGATGTTAGTAGGTGTCAGAGGAAACTGTCTGCTGACGTGGTGAGTAGGAGTAGCCAGGAGGAGGAGTGGGCCAAGAGGGATATCTATCTGCTGAAGCTGATGGTTACTCTTCTTTTCCACCCTCTCATCACTCTCTTCTCTGGTTACTTGACATTGGACTCTTGATTAGATGTATGATTGGAGACATTGAAACTGCGCTGAGACATTCTGTACTTCAACATTGTCGAGCTTTCCTCCTGACTGGGTTCATTGCAGTCCCAGCCTTGCTGAAAAAGAAACTGGTAGCCTACAAAAATTCAGGAGGCCCAGTCTACCGGATCATGATGGATGGTAGCGCCAGCCAAAAAAGAAAAAGAGTGCACAGCTGGCGGTTCGGAAAAGCTTGGTGCGCACCGAGGGGCCTGCAGTCCTGGGTGTACTGGTGGTTTAAGGATTCAGGCTCTTGATCTGTGTACTGGCAGTTACATGCATATTACCTTTTGCAAGGAATATGAGTGTGAACGATATACCGAAAACCAAGTTGCGAAATCACACAGATGTCAAGGTAGTCGTATCCAAACAGAGAGTACAAAATGCACTGAGAAACCATCCATACAGAGCAATATAATGAAGTAATGAGCCAATGTTCAAAACGGTAGGCCACACCAACACAGTATCCAAAGTCGCTCCTCTCTGTCTGGCGCCCAGCGCCCAGCCTACTCTGCCCGACTATCCACCTACAGCTGGTTCACGCAACAGACTCACTTCGACTCTCGAAGACCAATGTACATGACTATGAACTCCATAGCCGACCTCTCTTCATGCACCAGGTACGTATCTCGTCACCCTCAATCAGACCTTGATTACCCCACACAGCGCCTCCTTACCTGAAGACCACCAGATCACCCGCTATACCCCCTGGCGCCCAGCAGCCCGGATATGGCCGCCTGTGCCCCGCTGCCCTGCAGCGCCCCTCCTCACCTCTACACACCCCGTCAGCGCCTTTGGCAGCAGCGCAGCATCAAGCGAGAGCGCAGCAGCACTTCCGCATTGCCAGCACTGGCCAGAATGCCTGGCCTGGGCTGCCTTCCTCCTTTTGTGAAAGTGGCAGCCTCCTGGATGCTGCGTGTCGCCTGGCTGGAAGCTTCCAGTAGCTTCCGGTTGGGCCTCAGACCCTGCGCCCAGGCCCTAGACTACAGTTGAGGGACTGGGCCCTTTACAGTTGGGCACGGCCTGAGTCTCCGGACTTGAGCTGTTTGCTGCATCTGTGCAGGGCTCCCAGGCAGGTGCGTCGGCAGTACTGCTTTTGCCAAGGCCAATGGCCTGCTTCCCAATGTATCGGTCCTGCTTTGTGTGTATGTGCCCAGGCGCAACTGTCAAGGCCTGGGCCAACTGTATGATGCAGTTTTGTGAGGCTCACGCGTCTACCCAACCAACTGGCGTGCTGCGAGAGCCTGAATACCCACACATGGAAATGTCGAATTTTGCCTCTGACGAATATTCAGGCCCGCCTTCACTTAGGGCGGGCACTTGGCTTGCTGGGGGCCTTAGCCCAGAGCATGTGATGTCTGGTAGGGTCTCTTGAGGGCTCGTTCCTCTCACTTTTTAGCCACACAGGCTGGGGCGTAAGGTGGTCTTTGTTTTGTTTGCTGTTACATTTATTTCACAATTTGCTGTGAGGCAGGTAGCTATACATGTTGCTTGAAACAGGCTAAGGGGCGCCGCCATTGTTTGCTTATCACTCACTTTCTCTTTCTTTCTTTCTTTCTTTTTTTTCTTTTTTTTGACCATTTCTCGATTTATGAATGTCATCCTTGCACAGGCGCCATGCTAATCTCCTCTGTATCGTTCCAATTTCAACGGATGTCCCGAAGGACCACTTTCTCTTTCTTCTTCTTCTTCTTTTTCGCTTTTTGTGTCGCTTGCTGACAAGTTGCTGTCACATTTATTTCGCAATTCGCCATGAGGCAGAGAGCCGTACATGTCGATTGGAACAGACTAAGGGATCCCTCCATTGTTTGCTCAACACTCTCTTTCCTGCTGGCTTCTTCTTCTTTTTTTGGGTTTTCTTGGGCACATGCCCCACATCTTTGGTACCTTTCATACTGGTGGCCTGTGCTCGTTCCAGCTCATTAAGTTGATACTTTGCCTGCTTATGTGTGGTCGTGATCCAATCATATTTCACGTGACTGTGAACAGGAGACGATAGGAAGGAGTCAGGGTATGAGCAGAAATGACGGAGAGCTTAGCAAACCCAGTTGTGTAGCATAAGTCATGCTTCTTCTTCTTTTTTCCCTCTAGTGTATCACCTTGCCAGGTACTCTTGAGTGGTCCACATCCTTTCAGTTTCAGTAATCGTTTTGAAATGCGACTTCATACTATCCGACCACTCTTATTGATGTGACATGTGAATTATTATGAAGTCAAAGGTTAACATCGCATACCTTTCTGCCGGATGTTGTGGATGAAGTGTTGTTTCGTTTGTTTTCTATTTTCCACAGGTCATGGATGTGTTTTGACAGGTAGAAGAAGAACTTAGTGATCAACACTAACACGTGCCTAACTGATGGAAATACTATATACCGTGGAGCTGGGTTTCTCTGGGGGTCATGGGTCGACAATACTACAGGAAGTGCTAATCGTCATAAGGAACAGCCTGGATTGCAGGCCAATCAGAATCACGCATGGGGCAGATCGCACGCCTGGTTTGCAGGCTAATCAGAATCACGCATGGGGCAGATGGCACGAATGGACGTCCATCTGGGCCATTCGTGCGAACAGTCGTCCTGGAACTGATCAGAGTTCCTTTCTGATTGGCCTGTGATGTAGGCCATCCGTTCGCACAAAGGGCCAAGATCATCATGCGAACGGTACTTCTGGGCTGGTGCTGCCCTATGAGGCAATGCCCACCAAGTTTTTGGTTGATTTTCCTTCGAACGCTTTTGTTTTTTGTTGTGGCCGGGTGGTATATTACTTGGAGACTTTGTTGCACTGCACTTCTTCCATCGGTAGCACCCTGTCTTACACGAGCTACCTACAGTAGGCGACTTACCTGCTATCTACCATACTGTAGCGCCACGGTAGAGCTCC